ATTGAGTACTTTTTGAGTTATTTTATATTTTAATCTGACATATTTTGATATAAAAAATAAAATATCTCGTAAAATATTTAGTTTTCGATAATCTTACCGTAATACTTTTATGTACAGAATAATGAGACAAATCTCTCAATTAGTAAAAAAAAAATATTAATAATAACTATTTTTGTCGTGGGATCAATCAAAAAAGAGATATTGTAAAAAAACCGTTTTTTTGCTCCATTTTTCCAATATGGCGGCGCGAGCGGCGCCCCGCCAAGGTCGAAAATTCAGAAAATTATTTTAGACACAAAACTACATGACCTTGTAAAATTTCAAAACTCCCGGATTTAATGTAATAAAAAACTACCTATTGACTGGGCTAAAACATTAAATTTGAGTTTTATTATGGTATATCTCTTTAGTTTAAGAAATAAAAATGAGATGTTAACTCTTGTACTTCGATACTATGTATATAATTTATCTATTCATATTGGTTTTTTATAATGTCTTGTTATATTTTTATTTCAAAGTAGTTTAATTAAATAAATGCGGTTTATAAAGCGAAAAATTTTGGGAGATTTACTCGTAATCTGTAAAACAAACCGCAGATGATATATTATTTAAAAAATATTATTTTTATATTTTATTTTAGAAGAATTTTACCTGCGTGAAGTTAGCACCCCATTTTTGAAATTTTAAAATTCTAAAGGTTGTTCCAGGTTGTTCTAGACTTGTTCTAAATTGTTCCAAAACATCAAATTTATATTATAAAAATTTTCGCGGAAAATTAAAAAATACAATTTTTTGACCTGGCACCCCATTTTTCAAAAATCGAACTTTTCAAGATTGTTCCATGTTGTTCTAGTTGTTCTAAACATTGTTCCAAAGTATTAGTTTGATTGGTTAAAAACTTTAAAAGATATTGAAAAAACAAGAATTTAAGAAAAAAACATTTTTGGCCATTTTCTCATAAACAAAAAAACTTACATAATTGTCGGTTTAAATGTTTTTTTCTTAAATTTTTGTTTTTTCAATATCTTTTAAAGTTTTTAACCGATCAAACTAATACTTTGGAACAATGTTTAGAACAACTAGAACAACATGGAACAATCTTGAAAAGTTCGATTTTTGAAAAATGGGGTGCCAGGTCAAAAAATTGTATTTTTTAATTCTCCGCGAAAATTTTTATAATATAAATTTGATGTTTTGGAACAATTTAGAAGAAGTGTAGAACAACCTGGAACAACCTTTAGAATTTTAAACTTTCAGAAATGGGGTGCTAACTTCACGCAGGTAAGAATTTTTCATTTTTGATTACTATGTCATCAATCTGCCCAAAAAGTACGATTACTCTGAATTTGATTTTTGAAATTTTCTTTACCATTTGTATGCATGACTATATATAAGATGTCCCAGGCTTTGCTACAGGCCATCAGTATGAGCAGTAATAAGAAAAAATATTAACAAAAATAAGTTGTTTGAGACTTTATTATAAAGTTACTTCATTATATGAATTTGTAACTTTTAGTTTTTTGTGTTATCTGGGGTATTTATTATTTATCTCTCTTTCTCTGCTTGTAAAACCAAAATAAAGATATCTTTCTGATATCATTAAAACCCAAGTTATCGCAATTAAACCTATTAAAAACTCGATCGGCCCAGCTATTATTGAAATCCTTGATAATAAAGTACTTTCAAGTCATATAGATACACAATCCGCCAATGCTGTCACTTCTGTGATTTTGTGGCTTTCCGTGACTTCTGTGGCTTTGCATGATTTAACACAAAATACTATCGTGTCCCTCAATTTTATGTTGTAACTTTATAATAAAGCCTCAAATGTTCTATGTTTACATAACATTTTTTTTAATTTTTGATTATGCAACATACTGACGATATTTGGCTAAAAAATTTGGAACATCTTGTATGAGAATGTATGTTTCATGCGAGCGGGATTCAGTCTACATTGCCAATTGACCAGTTGAACACTAGAACCTTCTCATTAAATTGTGCTGGTTATTTAGACATCGGTCAATATATGTGGATGTACTATAGGATCTATAGATTTATCAGGATATATGCTAATGGGACCTTCGCTTTTATACGACCGTGATAAGAATGTACATTTCATGTATGATCGTGCCGCTATTGGATATATTGTTATTGCGCCGTTGAAAAAATATCATGTTTTTAAAAACGTTGCAGTAAAATAACGATGCAAAGAATTTGCGCATCTCCATATATTGTATCTTCTTTTATTCTGGACTAGCTATCTTTCTGTAAACTGGAGTTCCCCTTTTGCGCTGTTCTCTCACTACACATTTTGTCATATAATTACCTGTATTATATGTAAGAAAGCCAGTAAAAGATAAAAAATTTTTGTTTTATAGATGTATTATTAGAACAAGAGTGGTGATTAAAAGAAGATTCCAGAATACAGTAATAGCTTGGTTTCGACGAGTCTAGAATAGATGGGACCTATAACATTAATACTTCTATCTAGTAGACATGATTTTTTCGCAATCATAAGCAAATCACTCATGTGCATATGGTTTAACATAATCGTAGGACAATTTTCAGAGTTTGATGGTTCTGATGTCAATTCCACATCGATGACACGTTTCGCAGCGAACGCTATGATGACTGCCGAGAATTCACAGTGCAGCAGCAACTGCAGCACAATCGTTAATACACCTACGGGCAGATCAGCACGAATGCGTTGCACTTCAGCGACCTCTAGTTTGGAACTAGGATATTCGCACACGGCACAAAACTCCGCAATCTTTTCGGAGACAATCAGTTTTCCAAGCACTATTTACGACAGATGTAAGAAGACAGGTAAATACATAAGCAAAAATGGGCAGTGGAAATAGCTAATCTAGTTCAGTTTAACAAATAATTTTGTAAACAATCGAGATATATATGGAATACTTTGTTCTGAAATCATCAGAACCAAACTTCTATTCCGATATTTTTTTTCAATCTACGTTAAGAGACGTAATAGAAATCGACAAGACGAACGGACGAACGAAATGCACGAGGGGCGATAGCCAAATAATAGGCACGAGAGTGTAAGAAAAATAAACAACTGATTTATTAAAGAAAAGTAATAAGGTGATCAGGCAAAGTATATTAGAGTACGTCGAAATTAATAATAGAATGAAAGACAGGATGATTAATTAATATCAGTACTCCAACCGAGTCGTAGACGATAGCATTGAATATGATCGAGTGAAATATGATACGATAGAAGTCGTCGTACAGGTAAGATGATTAGCGTTGGAGTACGTGGTGCCGTAACAAATATCCTCCGTACGTCGTCAACTCGGCCCGCAAAATGCAAGATTGAGCGACAAGAAAGTGGCCGAAAACCGGATCGAAAATCGCCGCGATAATCGCTCTCGGATTGCAGATTGAGCGATAGCCACAGGATACTTCCCGGGCGCGCAATCGCGGAGTTATAGAATACGTAGAATTCGACAATGATAACGGTAATAGTGAGCAAAGACCGACAGCCGGACAACGGCGAGAAGGTGATGCAAGCGACGCTCAAAAAGTGCGGCCTCACGCTACGCAGAGCGCAGGTTGCACGATTGATGATCGATCTTCGACGGAAAAAGTACGGATTTTCCGTTTCGCGGATTGACGGGATCCGCGAATCGCTCTTAATGCAAAACTAAAATGCTCTTTCTCCGAATTGATATACATGCGTACATTCACATTCATACACGTAGAGGTGACAGCCGACCGAACAGGCGCAATAATCGTCGCGAAAAAGAATACATTCACATCTTGCAGACGAAGATATGCGAAGGTCGCCAATCCTTCGCTAAGAGTCGAGAACGAGACTCTTTCACGCGCTCTCGATAGCTTACGACAATAGGCATACGAGCGTCGAACCTACAAGCTTCGCGATTCGATGATCTCCTGATATGCGATTGATACGCGAAAACAAGTGCCGACGCGCTCCGCGATATTAATGCAACATTTCATGGCCAAAACCAATGTGCTGAGAAACGTTTTTGTATTAAAGACGTATTATAAAAATATTAGCACTGAGACCCAGCGTATGACTCTTTAGCCAATTATACTATTTTTTTACTATTTAATTTCATCCACAACTCTGAAGAAATCCCGAATGACTGGCTAAAATCAGCATTTATTCCTATTCCGAAGAAGATCCATTCTAAGAAATGCAGATTACCGTTTAATATGTTTAATGTATCATATGTTTAAAATTTTTCTAAGAATAATACATGCGTAACGGGCCGCTTCACGAGCGGTGCGCGGATAACACAATCGGGATCAGAATTCGTGAAGAGGTTTGAGACGCGACGAAAGATGTGTTAGTTGTCTTTATTTGCCTCCCTTGGCAATGGTCAGTTACAATTGAATAATCCGCGAAGCGGGGCGCGGCGGATATTACAGCGCGAAAAATCTTAGTTCCGGCGCGGCGGTTGTTCGGCGCGTGTTGTAATATGCGTGGGCAGACGATCCCACAATTATAACAGTGCGCGTAGGATATTAGTATAAAGGCGTGGCGGTTATTAGGTGCGTTCCGCTAAATGCGCGAACGGCGATGTCGTGATTATAATAGCGCGCGAGGAATATGTATTTAAAGGCGCGACAGTTATTCAGTGCGTTGCGCTAAAGGCGCGGACGGCGATGCCGTGATTATAATAGCGTGCAGAGGCATCGATGGATCGTGACGCGGCGCGTACTCCCAGACGTTCGTGGGATTGCGTCCGGAAATCGGGAAATCTCGACGGGAACGGAAAACTCTCCGTTCCTATTCTGTGCGTGCATCTAGAGGACGGCCGGCGGAGCCGAGAAGACTCGGCGGGAAAGCGAACTCGCTGTCCCACGATCCGGCTGGCCGGAGCAGTCGGATGATAGACCGTGTGCTCGAGTACTCTCGCGGAAAGCGGCGAACACTCCGCTCTCATTCGGTTCAGTCGAAAGAAGTCTGCGGTGTACATTTGTGCCAGCATAAATGCTGGTAATCTGTCCACTAGAGGCCACCACATGGCGACAATGGAAGATCGTATTATTAATCGGGAACAGAAGAGGGGGCTGCTTAGGAAAAATAGTTTAGGATGGGCTATTCCAGGAGGCTTCCATGCATACTGGTGACGAGTCAACACTCATCGCTGAGCGGCTACGGGCGCCAATTTTCAATCGTTTAAGTACGATTCGACCACTCTGGAGACGTACTGGATATGTCGTCTCTCCGTGGCAGTCGGCACTGCATCCATTGAGCGAGATTCCAACATCGCTCTGGAGTTGTATAAACTATGTTACAGTGGCATAAGGTATGAGGTCTGAATATCTTAGTGGTAAGAGCAGTTGCCCGGAAAGCGAAAGACTCGGGTTCGATCTCCGATTTAGCCACTCGTACTTCGCATATTTTTTCAAGTCCGCAAATATTGTTTTCTAACAATTATTTGTCGGGCTGGGAGAGTGTGTAAATGCCCTACACAGATACGACAGTGCCGCTGCCACGGAAGAGATGGATGCTTGGTTCGTGCCTTCAGTCGCCTTAAATCCCCTCCTCTAGCCCATTCAACGAAGGAAAAATAACAAAAATAATTCAAAAAGTTTTAAAAATTTATAGAGATGTTTAAATGCCCTACACAGATGCAACGCTGCCGCTGTCACGAAAGGGATGTTTGCTTGGTACGTGGCTCCTGCCACCTCAAATCCCCCCCTCACTTCATTAGAACGATTCGCAATCGAAGCGGATGTCGAGAATGCTCGGCGGAGGCTGTTCGTCAACCTCTCTTTTCTGTTCGTTCTTGCGATTTCGAGGATCGGTTTCTGGAAGTTTTTGTGCGTACTGCTCGAGAGGATTCTGATATTGGTCTGGTAGTGAGATTTAATTTGGCGGTCTTTTTATATCGCCTAATTAACAGTATTCGGCGGCCGTATAACGGCCGTATAGTTGTTTAAAAAAGGGAGCTATGCGCCTCTGCCCTTGTCCAGCTGGTGTTCGCCGGGTAGCAGACTTCCGCCTGATCAACTGCCGGATAACGATGGAGGAATGCATCGTTACAATGCAAATATTTGAAGACAGTGTGAGCAATATAAGGACAACTCTCAATTCGGATTTAGAAACAGATTTGGAATCAGAAAAACACTTTCCGCTATCAAGTCGTTTTGCTTAAAAAATGTATAGATATGATCAGAGAAAGGATGTATTTGCCTACTTAATCGATTATGAAAAAGCGTTTGATAGAATAAGACATGAAAAACTTATTAAAATACTAGAAGAACAAAGTATTGATAATAAAAACATTAGAATTATCAAAAACCTCTATTGGAAACAGAAAATGAATATTCAAATTCAAGAGAAAGTATCACGGGCGATTCCTATTAAGAGAGAAGTTCGTCAAGGTTGCATTTGTCACCAATAATCCAATTTTTAACCTGTATATTCAGAGATATAATTTTTAAAATATCCTTATCAGGAACGTATGAAAGTATTGAAATCAACGACGTTCCTTTGTTCAATATAAGATACATGGATGATACAGTGATCATTGCTTAAAGCATTAAAGATCTCAAGGAACTACTTACGAGGATTAATTGGAGGGGAGTTTGAATTGCATATTAATATACATTAAACAAAGTTTATGATATTTAGCCATGATGAACATAGAGGAGTAAGCACTAAATAACGAAGATACACAACAAGCAAATAAGATAATTTACCTAGGAAGTTGCATAATTTGAGTTATTTTAAATTGAAGAATTTAACCTGAATATTGAAATTAGGAGTAGAATTGAAATAGCAAGAGCAACATTCAATAGACCTAGGTCCGTTCTATGCAATATCAAGAATCTCAAAATAAAGCAACGAATGTTTAAGTGTTATGTATAATCAATTCTTCTATCAGAACTTGTAACCAGGAGGCATTTTAAATGTGGGTTCATAGAAGGATGTTCAAAATATCATGGGTTGACCATATATCGGATATTGCGAAGAGCAATTTGTGATCGCGAACTACCAAAAACATTAAAATTAGGAAGATTGCTTATGTGGGATGTTAGAAGGAGTAAATATTCCTTGCTACACTGGATAATAAAAGGAAAGATAGAGTCATTGCGTGAGATAGGATGGAGAAAGATACCGTGGCTTCGTAACATCAAAGAATAGACGGGAATAAGTAGTTTTGCGGAATTGTTTAGGCTTGCAGATAACCGACAAATATTCTATTAGATGATCGGGGGAATCTAACGAAGGAAACTCGCACGATATAGGATTGACGCGTTTATCACTTCTTCAAATTTTATCTGACTCCTGACTGTCGCATAAAGATAATCTGTCAAGCGAATACACGCGGCGCTGAATCAATATTTATTCCTGTCTAGAGCCATAATCGTCTTTTATTTCATTATTTTTTCCGTCTGTGATGCCTTCCTTTAGAAGGAATCTTCTTTTTGTTTAGATTTTTTACGGCCAGTAAGTAACCGATAGACTTTGGTGAGCATCTATAATTTTAAAATTATAATTTTAAAATTATAATCTTAAAATTAAGTTTTCGGATTTTATGAGATACGCGACTACAATACGTAATTTTATCACTTTATTTTTACAATGTGCAGCAAATTCGGTACTTAAAAAGCTTCTATTCTCGTAACTTAGTCTTTGATTACTTGTTAATTGAACTTGAGATGGAATTTAAACCGATTGCAACTTGTTTGTCAGACAGATTTCACCTCTCTTGGTTTAATTCTTAAATTATACGATAGTATAATTGCGTAGACGAAAAGAATTGTGAAGTCCACAGGACGTAACAATATAATTATAATTGTGAGATAATAGATTACACATCATCCGTGAGATACTATTCTTGATGCGTTATTTTTAAAGTGGTTTCCCCAGTAGGAAATTAGTAGTGGTTTATCGATTAATGGTTTCCCAGAAGAAAATATTTTTATTTTGGGAACTTTCGCGATGTTATTAAAAAAGTATTGGCTTATTACATTTGCGTCTTATTACATGCGAATACTCTCGAGACTGCTGCGCTCCTTAATTACGCACGTCCGGTGACTCATTGTTAACGCGCGAGCAGTCGGGAGGGGGTAGGGGGTCACGAAATCTGGCCTAAATATGCAAGTAAATCCCAGCACTGATATAGGTAACTTACGTTTATTATTAATTATTGCCACGTTATCTTACTGCAACAAACAATGTTTACTGAAAATCTAATAATAGACAATTGTTGGAGATTTTTCTTACTCCTGCAAAATTTGCTGTCACAAAAAATGAATTGAGAAATGTTATTAGTTAAATAATATTTGCGGATGTATCATTTCTAATGATTTTATTCTGTCTGATAGAAATATATTAAGGATAAATCAATATCTCTAGCGTGTCGATAATAAATCCGAATTATGTTTTAGGTACTGATATTGCGAGTGAGACGAGTGGCATATATACGTTGAGAAGCAATGAAATACAGGACGAAAGAATCGGCGATGATTTATATTCATCTACTAGTGAGATCAACGAGTCTTCGGCAGCGAGCAATGTTTGTGTTCTTAGCTGCGTTCAATCCGCTACCGACGAGGCGTCTGTTACGTCTGGCTTTTATACTATCCACAGCGGGTTGCAGTCAGAGAGTAGCGATGTATATATTGAGAACGTCGGCACGGAAGATCAGGAACCGATATACAGCATATGTAAAGATGATGACGAAGTCCTACTAAATCAACAACTCGAGAACTCGCGTTCACGTAGCAATAGTATACTCAGCGCAGGCAGCTTTCGAGGCGACGGAAGTGATCCGTCCAGCGTAAGACCACTTCTATCAGCCGACGAATTATCAGATCTGATAGTAGGTCGGTATCCTCCACGTAAGACTATCAGCAATTCTATGGATTCGGATTGCGATTACGTGACTATGCCACCGCCTCCCCCACCACCTTCACACCCACAACCACTTAGCCCGGACAACGATCGACAACTGCCGCTGCCGCCACCGTATCCGATAGAAAATATTGATTACGCGACGATTAATGTTCAGAAAAAATCGAGCAAACCGGAAATAGATCGAGAACGGGAACCACCGCCACCACCACCGCCGTATAACACGATTCGAGATGACTTTGTTCCATTGCCACCCAGACGGACCAATCCGCCACCGCCTCCGTATACCTCACAACGAGAAAAAATTCAGATACCGCCGCCCACACCGCCGCGGAACGACGCGGTAACGCCACGAGAACCACCACCGCCTCCACCGCCTTATCCCGATATGTCAACGGTGTCCAGTCTCGTTCCGAGGATTACGAGGACCACCAACGACATTACAGTAAACCTCGCACCGAAACCACCCCCTAGGATACAACCTCCTACTTACCCAGGTGATAAAATGAAACCTACTCCGGTACACGCTCCGGTTGCCGCTCTCGTGGTGGGCCCAAACAATTATCTGGATGTGCATGCCTCTCGAAACGGTCCGGCGCTTTTACCATATTTAACAGCAATGCCACCACCGCCTCCACCGCCGATGGTACATCCGCGACAACCACCGCCACCACCATCGCCGCCACCGCTGCCGCCACAACCGCCATCCAGTCTGTCGACTGTTTATACGAATCAAATTACTCGATCGCAAATAGAACAATACAAACAGCAGCTCTATTCTGATGTTGACTATGTTATGTTTCCGCTCAAAGATCCAGCAGTGTCGAAGCAGGAATACATCGACGCCAAGCAAGGTTCTCTTCTTGCAGCTATGGCCGCCTATCCGCCACCGCCGTATCCGTCTTTTAGCAAATCCTCAGTGATGTATCGTAGTACGCCCTATCTTCCCGGTTCTTCCTTTTCCTCGCAGTCCAAATATGCGTCTAATCAAAATTTGAGCACTAGCGACATCAACAATTCTGGCAGTAACTATCTGTTACATAATAATCTAAACAGTCATTATGCTGCTAGCACGAGCTCACTGTACAGTGGCCCGAGCTGTTCGTCCAGTCACAGTCTCAGAAGAGAACCTTCTGTACTAGCTGATCCTCATACGTTGCACATATTGTCGCGGACCAGGAGTGATGAGAACATTCTTAAATGTTTGGATACTTTGGTCACGGGTAAAATGCAATCTCTACCACAATCCAAACATCGTAGGTTACCGCCGCCTCCGCCACCACCTCCTTATGAAATACAGGTACAAAAAATATCAAACATATAAAAGATGATTAGCTCATATTTACTATATCGCAATTTGAGTAAAATAATATTGTGTAAGAATTAGAGAAATTAATTTTTTTGTTGTTGAATAAAGTTATAAAAATCAATTTATAAACAGACAAATTTTATTTTATGGTATCATAGTATTTATTCCATTCTTACTAAAGTAATATACGAGGACTGACAATTAAGTTCGTAGAAAATATTTATTACAATTACAGAACACACTTATTCGTTATTTAATACACGGTCCCCTTTAAAATAATCCCTTCCTAAAGCACTTAGTTCAATGTTTTTTCTATTGCAGGAAGCAGTCTTCAAAATCATTCTCTGTGAGGCTGTTTAGAACACGCGTCAACTATTCCACCTCCGCTCGTGACCCCCAATGACGGTCCTTCATGTCTTTCTTGATCTTGAGGAATAGAAAAAAATCGGAGGAGATCAGATCGGGCTCACCTGACTTTTTCCTATTCCCCAAAATCAAGAAAGACATGAAGGATCGTCGGGGGTCACGAGCGGAGGTGGAATGGATGACGCGTGCTCTAAACAATCTCACGGAGAATGATTTTGAAGACTGCTTCCTGCAATAGAAAAAACATTAGACCAAGTGCATTGCTTTAGGAAGGGACTATTTTAAAGGGGGCCATGTATTAAATAACAAATAAGTGTGTTCTGTAATTGTAATAAATATTTTCTACGAACTTAATTGTCAATCCTTGTGAACTAAAAACATGCGTTTATATAATTTTGATCTTTAACAGATATTTTTTAATATAATTTTTTTTAAAGACTTTGCTATTAATAGTAAAATATAAAAAATAGAAATTTACATATATAAAGTATTATGATTTTAAAACAATTCTCTTTCTTATATATATTCCAATATAGATAAATGTTCTGAAATAAAATTAGTATGTAGAGACTCTTTATGATATCAAAAATCTAACGAATGTTTCATGTTAATTGGAAAGTAATTATCTCTTTTTTTAATTTATTCTAAATTTCGAAAATCTGGAGTTACAATTAATTTTTCTTTCCATAATGCGATATACAGATTATCCATAATGCAATATAAAAATATAAGATTATTCACATATTTAAAACTTATAGATATTTATAATGTATATTATCTCTTCTAGAATCTTGACAAAAATCAGCCATTACCATCAGCTTCTTCGGCAACAGCTCCTTCGTTGATTGCCATGAAATTGTATAAACCTAGCAAATCTAGCAATGGCATAGACGATAGTGACGAGAACGACGATATGCTAGATATTCGAACGCTTCGCGAAAAGAGTCGCAACTTAGACTTACCATTAATCTCCGCACTATGCAACGATCAATACTTGCTGAAGCAGACGAAAGCCTTTGTCTTACCAAAGCATCCTAGCGAAACCACTTCCATCTCAACATCAATGAAAAATAGCATACGGAGCAGTAACGGAGCGACCTCCAGCAAAAACAAGTATCCGGTGAGCGGATTGTCAACGACACAAATTCAGAAATCACCTAAGAAGTCCTCAACGAGCACTCATAAGCATCCTTCTGAAGCAAAGAACAATTCTTGTAAGATCAACACTTCCACTACAGGAATTTCAACGAATAAGGAAGACTTTACATCTCACTCTTAACACTCATTCTTGATGTTTCTTTTCTTATTTAAAGAATTTTTTATAATTTAGGATAAAAACATGTTTTTTTCATAATCCCGATATCAGTTTATGTTTCGTCAATGTAACTAGTACAACATACAGAAAATGTACAAAAAATTAAATATCGTCTCGACAAACTGTGCTTCTTCGATTCAAAGTGCCATTTTATCTGTTCGCCGTATTTTTTTTCATTCACAAAATTTTTAATGTTGAAGCGATAGAGAATTCAGATTATGTAAATTGCTCATCACCGATAAACGTAAAATTTTTCAATCATCTGCACTTTTTATTTTCATAGAGCTTATTGTTGAAAATTATATCTTTTCGCGAGAAAAACGCTCTTTTATATAAAATATTTTAAATAGTTGAACTGTGGCATTAAGGACTTAGGTAAAACTGCATAAAAGGTAACACATCTCCGATTTAATCGCTACTTAAATATGTTGTAGGGGAGGTTTTTCTGAGTAATTCCCCGCAAGAAATAAATGGGGGACGGCATTGGTTTAGGAGATATAATAAATTGAAGTTTCACAGTTTTAATGCTTTTTCTCAGGTATTATAAAGTAATATTAGGAAAAGTGAAATTTGTGTACGTTGTATTTGTTGTAGAGCGTCAATGTAACTAGTACAACATACAGAAAATGTACAAAAAATTAAATATCGTCTCGACAAACTGTGCTTCTTCGATTCAAAGTGCCATTTTATCTGTTCGCCGTATTTTTTTTCATTCACAAAATTTTTAATGTTGAAGCGATAGAGAATTCAGATTGTGTAAATTGCTCATCACTGATAAACGTAAAATTTTTCAATCATCTGCACTTTTTATTTTCATAGAGCTTATTGTTGAAAATTATATCTTTTCGCGAGAAAAACGCTCTTTTATATAAAATATTTTAAATAGTTGAACTGTGGCATTAAGGACTTAGGTAAAACTGCATAAAAGGTAACACATCTCCGATTTAATCGCTACTTAAATATGTTGTAGGGGAGGTTTTTCTGAGTAATTCCCCGCAAGAAATAAATGGGGGACGGCATTGGTTTAGGAGATATAATAAATTGAAGTTTCACAGTTTTAATGCTTTTTCTCAGGTATTATAAAGTAATATTAGGAAAAGTGAAATTTGTGTAAGTTGTATTTGTTGTAGAGCAGACGAAAAAGTGTTTGTTTACATTTACGAGATAGGTACACGGTCATGGATATTTTGTCAATAAAGTGTTTCACCTATTTCTCGCAGTTTGTTAACAGCTTTCAACATGCGACTACATGAATTTCTGACTCATGTCTTCAAAAATATTATTTATTGAATGCGTGGGCGGGGGAGGAGCGGAGCCTCTCCCCCTGCACTCCACCCGAAAAAATTCTTTTTTCCCAACTCAACATTACTTTTAAAACTAAAAATAAGCTTGGGTTAGGTTATATCTTCCGGAAGTGGAGCCCCCCCGTAGGGGGTGGGGGCGCAACCCACTATGTCCACGCATATACTTTACAACGCGAAACGACGTCCATTCCACAATTGTTGTGTGAATGGGAAAGTGTATGCGTGGACGCAGTGGTTTTTGCTCCCCCCTACGAGGGGGCTCTACTTCCCATACAGAAATTAATGTATATTAGATATCTACTGGATGTTCTCAATGTGCATTAGGGATATCCATGAATATGTAGGAAACAGCTATTAGACATGCTTTTAAATATTCAAATGTCCGCAATACGAGATTTTATAAATATCCACAGGATATGTAGGCCAATATCCACTGGACATCCATATCAATATTCAGTGGATATTTATGTAGATATCCATTGTATGTTAGTTAAATTTTGGTCACAAAATGACTAATTAAATGTTCTAAGTTAGGTCTCATGAGACCCGAACATGATGTCGATATGTCACATCCACAAGACGTCATTTTCTGATGTTTGTTTGACGGCAAAACTAAAATCAATTACAGTAATAATA